ATAGCCCTAAATCACAACAGTCGTTATCTCAAAGGACTTCTCAGTTTTAAGTTCTTTGAAATTCGCTGCAAAGTTTATAACAATGCGGCTAATGTATGTACTTATTATATGACTTGGATCGTACGCGCTGGCTGATTTGCGGTCTGATATTTTCCCATCTCGGACCGTTACCATGACAATTGGTCCGCAGCGTGTATCAAATTTGATACCTTTCCTCGGTAAAAAAGAAATAATGAGCGACGACTGGGAGAATTCTCCCAGTGAATTCTCCATCCGGACGAGTTCGAAGAGCCAGAGGAAGTGATAACAGCAAACAACAACGAAAACACAACTCCTAACAGTCAAGAAGAGATTGACAACTTCGTTACAGACCAGAAAGCTAAAAACACGATTAGGAAAACCAAGTCGGACATGAACATACTGCACGAATATCTAAAAAGCATTGGTAAAGACACAGAAGAGATTGAGAACGTACCAGCGGGCGCCTCAATCATCTGATGAGCAAGATCTTCATGTCACGATTTGACAGTTTGGTTGCATCGATATTTGCATAAATTAAAAATAGTCATATAATAAAACATTTATCAACCTCGCCATGGCTCGGTCTGTATAGAAAGGCCGCAGTCTGATATTTCTCTTTCTGATATTTCAGACCCCACGCTCGTTTAATAAGCTGTTATTATTATGTTACCTAAATAATAATGATAATAATAACAATGCCTTGTTTGAGCTCTTTTTTGGGCACTCAAAGAAGTTTCTCATGTCTTATTTTGTTAGAAAATATTTTGGTTGAAAATAAATGACTCCTTTAAGTTTTTAATAATCAGAAACATACCAGAGTGGTTTTTAATTCCACCCCAGCTAAAATCAGGAACTTCTGGCTCAAACATGTAACTCCGCCCCTTTTATCAAAAAGCTCCTGTAACAGTCCTATAATAGTATGATGTCATTGTATCACTATGACATCACACTCAGAGCGGTGTTCTGCATGTAAAAACTAAAGTATTGCCCTTAGTTTGAGTAATTTCTCAGGAGAAATGACGCTCTTTATGATCACAAAAGTCTCTGTTTGCAGCCGGTAATTATCAAATTTGAACAAACTCTTCCCTGGTATCAGCATTGGGCAGCATTTTTACCTTTTCAAGATGGCGAAGCTGTGGACAGAGCCTGCTCTTACGCACCGCTTTCTACAGTTTTTTTGTACAACGCAAACCTGCAGCTTCTATTCAACAACAACAACAACTTATTCTTGTAAAGCCCTAAATCATGACAGAAGTCATCTCAGAGGACTTAACAAACTATTTCAAACCATTGAAATCACCAACACAGAGTTGGTTCATAGGGAGAGACCAATGTCCATGAATGTTGATAAATGTCCATACATGTTGTAGAATGTGGCACGGCGGCACGGTGGCTGAGTGGATAGCACTCTCGCCTCTCAGCAAGAAGGTCCTGGGTTCGAATCCCGGTTGGACCAGGGCCTTTCTGAGTGGAGTTTGCATGTTCTCCCCGTGTCTGCGTAGGTTTCCTCCGGGTTTTCCGGTTTCCCCTACCACTAAAAATATGTACAATAGGTATGGCATGTGCCTCCTGTACTGGCACCCCCACCCAACAATTGTAAACCGCTTTGAGACTCCGATGTGCAGTGAAAAGGCGGTATATAAATAAACCTTACTTACTACTTACTACTAGAATGTTACATCAGTGGCCTGGATCATCACTACAGTCCTTCTTGTTGGACACTAACTGCCCAACAGGCCCTCCTGCATCGGCAAGGAGAAACTCTAAAACTATTGAGATCGGAGCAGTCCCGAAGTCCTTCAGAGCGACGAGCGCAGTCTTAACACACCACACAGGGCAGGAAAATCCATCAGATTTTTTGTTACAATATTCGGAGCGTTCTTACGATTGCCGTAGGGGTAAATTGGGTCCAAAGTCGGCCTAATTATCCTGGCCTGTGAACCAGGCTTACAGACCTTATGCCGGGTTTAAAAAAAAAAGAATTGTGGATATCAAAATTGCATGGTAACGCCCATGCATTGAAAACCATGGATCTATGCCACAGGACTGCCTTTTCTCTCTTCTCTCCACTGATGCCCAACACAATACTGCCCTCTACAGGTGACAATTGCTCACTACACATAAATGGCCGTTTTGAGAGTTAAAATGTGTCTGAGGTGGGAATTGAAACCCAGTATCTGGATTGGCGCCCATCGACACAACCACTGGACTATCTCAGTATAAATGAAAGATTACAATCTAGTACTAAACTCATACTCGCTGTACACGGCCTTGTCATCTTGAATATCCGCGAAAAAAGAACGAATACCAAATTGTAAACAACTTACAGCGTTGAAACGTACCCACTCTGACGTCACCAAGGGCTGTGAAGTTAGAGACTTTCGTCTCTAAGGGCGTTGCTATGGGGTTATTTTGATTTGGGGGAATCAGACAAAAAAAACAACAACTGATTTTGAAACCTTTAGTAGTTTTCTTCTAATATAAAATGGTATTAAAACTGTATTTCTAAATAAATCAAACCCGTCATAAGGTCTTTAAGCTACAGAACAAGGACCAATGCCACGCAGCGGCCGCAGATTGTCGACAGGTCCGGTGCAGGACTGAAGCGCTCCCAGGCTCTCAAGTGCAGACTTTATCTGTAAAAAATAATATGCTTTTTTTTTTATTCAAACACAGCAATGTAAAAGGTTCAGACTTTGTCCACAACACCACATGACATTATGCCATTAACACCACATGACATTATGAGCGTTTTCCCATATTGTCATTCTCTTGAGTAGCAGACCAAGAATCCAACAGAAATCACGGACTTCTTATGCTGACTTTCATCTCATGGCAACTTTAGAATTAGATTGCTCAAAGAGTGGGAGGCAAATGTCACAGAGAACGAACGGTGCGAGAAAGAAGGCTGCAGTTTTTCTCGGAAACCCTTGATTTGTTTTCATCAGCATCAGAGAAAACATATTGTGTTTTTCCGTGAATATTGTTTTGTTTGATGGAGGAGTAGGTTAGTGATGAAGAGATAAAGAGCATTTAACATTTCCACTATACTTAAATCTTGGCTGTTCAATTGTACTTACAAGATGAACATACCTTAGAGAAAAGTGTTCATATCAGTGTAGTAGGGCTGTGCTCAAATAAAATGAAATCTCGAAAATCTCCAACTTCTACATCTCCATTGTGCTAAAGTTGGAAATTTTAGCCATACTTTTAAGACTTGCTTATTACTTTTTAGACTTAATTATTACTTTTTAGACTTACTTATTACTTTTTAGACTTATTATTTACGTTAGATAACTAGAGATTTTACACTTGCTTCTTATTTATGGTAATTTTCCATTTTCTTCCGCTTCATCCATTTCCAGGTCATTATGGTAATGTTCGTTTTTTAGTATTTTAGAGTTATTGTTCATTTATGCAACACTGACAATCCGCCACTGTAAAACGAACAAAAGTTATTCTTAATCTAAAAGCTACAATGATTTTTGGATTTTATTTAATTTTTTTCAATTTAAAATATTCTTTATTATGCTAAAGCTAGGTATTATTATGCTATAGTTGGAGATTTTATTTCATTTTAGTATAGATTTATTGCTTATTTATCTTCCGATGTGTGCTCCTCATTCCCTCTGTTCTGCAACTGATGATGCAACACTGAAATGTCCCCTCTGTGGGACGAATGAAAGATCCCGGAATCTCTTCAATTTAATACCCGGCCCTATACCCTTGAGGCTGACACTACAATACAAACCAAATCTTAATGTTTCTTACAGGTAATACATGTTAGAATATATGAAAAATGTGTTGTTTTGGACTCCCAAACGAACAGACTATTGAGGGTAGTTTCATGCAATGAGAATGATGTCCTAGTTAAAAATTGATATTTGCGGTATAAATTGTCCTGAAGCAGCTCATGTAGTGGCTGCTGCTGTGGTTCTGTAGCGATCAGGTCACAATGACACCCAAGGGACCTGAGGGCAATACAGGGTTACCATGGGGACACGGCCATATCTACCCCACAAAGATTTAACAATTACAGGAAGCCATAATTTTTCAATTTAATAACAATTTTGCTGGAATTAAAAGGATAAACCGAGCTATTTTATAATCTTCATCAGAAGAGACAAGGTTGTGATGAGACCAGGTTGAAGTAGTGTTTGTAAATATATAAGAATCATAGCGGACTACAGATGGAAATTAGCATTGTGCTAAATCTGGGGCAGCCATCTTTTTAATGTACCTGTCCGTTGTCCTTTTAAATAAATAACTAACTAACTAACTGTCACCATGGCGATAATGCCAGAAAACCATGTTGTTTTAAACGGGGATCAGATATTCAAAGACTGAAAGATGCTTCCTGTGTCCTAAACATACATTTTCCCACACTGCAAAGAAAGATGAAATATAAATCAAAAATTTGCTAAATTTACCTTCATTTTAGCACATTTTGACTGCCTTAAAACAAGATTTGCCAATGGGACAAGCTAAATTATATAAATACACAATAAGTACATTACCTCGAATGCTGTTAGAAATAAAATTCAACCCCTATTTATTTAATCATTGATCAGAACTTGCATCTTTGACACGGCTCCTGTTGATCCCAGAATGACAATGTTAATGTGGTCAAAAACAAATATTTGAATGGTAGAAAGTGAGCTTCAGGTAATTATGAAGGAAGGGCACGTACTATATCAATACATTAAATATGAAAACATTTATTAAAAGTCACTCACTCACAAAATGGCTGCTAGAACTGAAATAGTGTTACACAGGTCGCCATGGCAACCAACTTCCTGACATGAATTAGAAGGTGACATCGTCCCTTCCGGTTGCCATGGCAAAGATCTTTATGTCATTGATGATGTCACCGTGGCCAGGCAGTGCTGGTGGGCTTATATGGGTCCATCCATCCGTGAGGAACAGGGCTAAGTGGTGCTTCCTAACCCTTCTTACCTAACCCAGGAAACTTCAAAGACATGTCTCGCAGGAGTCCTCGACTGGTGGAAACGGGGTACTATGATGTGGATGGAAGCCCCCGCATCTCTTACTCAGATAACAGTCGCAGGAATTCCAATACCTCCACTAAAATTCGGCCCCACAGTCAACCGCTGGAGGTGGCTGTGCTCAGATTCATCCATGTGCCTGAGCCTGCAGTTCAGCCGAGGTCCTGGCTCAGCTTAGCTTGGGTCATAGTCCAGCTTCTCCTTGTTGGCCTTGTTGTGTCCTGGGTAACAATGAAGTTTGCTGCTGATGGTGATGTGCGGCAGCAGCTGCAGGAGGAGGTGAAACATTTGAGGCAGCTTCAGGAAGACGTAAATTATTTACGTCAGCAGCTTGCGCATCACAACGCAATAGTGAGTGCTCCTTTGGCCAACTTTGCATTGGAGGCTCATGGGGCTCAGGTGATGACTGCTCTGACTTCCAAGACTCACGTGCCAAAAAAAGCCCCACTTTGGCACATACCTCTTGGTCCAGACACAGTGATCAAAGGTCATAATTACCCTTTGATTCCGGGACAGTGCTGGGCGTTCAACGGGCAGAATGGGAGCATTTTCATAGCTCTGCCCCTAAAGATTCACATCACCCAAGTAACTGTAGGACACATTCTGAAGGCGCAGTCTCTTACGGGCACAATTCAGTCAGCTCCAAAGTCTTTCTCTGTGTACGGACTGAAGGACTTTGAACAACCAGAGGTAAGACTTGTAAAGTTTCTCTATGACGCAGACGGGGACTCATTCCAAACGTTTGAGATCCTGGAGCGACACAAGGAAGAGACTTTCCGGTACGTGAGGGTGGAGATTCACGATAACCATGGGCACGATGTGGTCACCTGTGTATACAGCTTCAGGGTACATGGGAAAATCCCTGCTTCCAGCACAAAAGTGTCCACCGAGTCAAGACGCGGCTTGCTTGGAGGGATTGCATACCGCTTCTACCAGTCAGCCAGGACAATGTATTATTTAATGAAATTCTGGCTGAGGTTACCGCCAATGTCTAAGATCAATTCCTTAGAGCCAGAGATGCCAGCAGAAACAGACCCACATGTGACAGTGATTTAAAAGGGACCTAATCTTATTTTGTTCGTAAATTGTGGTATTTTTTTGTGTTAAATAAAACTCATTTTGACAGATAGTTTCACCCTTGGCAGTTTCTATCAATAATAATCATGCAAAAAGACATTCGCGGAAAAATTGCAGAGACCGGAAGTGACGTACACGTAGGTGTCATTGGGCTGTGTTGATATGCATTTGTAAGCCATAACGGTGTATACGGACGTTTTAAACAGATATTTTTCATTCAGTGATAGACAATACAAGTCAGGGGCTTTTATTTATGAGCCCTTGCGTAGTTGTTATGACAGTAATTATGATTTTGAAGACTCTGACTCGGTTCAGATGAGGAGCAATCTGCAAGAAATGGATATTTGCGGACATTAGGGCCGTTTCCACGGGCTGGGGTATGGATCTATGGTCCGACCGGGTCCGACCCGTCTCGACCCGGTTTGCGGATGCGGTCAGTTTGAGCTCGATGGTCCACCCGAGTGTGTGTAAATATCTAAGTGTTAGCGAAGGTAGCGCTAGGGACGAAGAAGTACATCAGGGACATCACAGTGCAGAGAAAAGTAAGGAAGCGTAAAAGTGACTACCGTGAAATGAAAGATCCCGGCCGTAAAAGTGGACAGAACTGAAAAGTCTGGAGGGGGTTTGACAACATGGATTGACTCTATTTTTACGGACATCAGCTAACAAGCTAACACCAGCTAACACGTCAATACCCGCAACTCAGAAGCCTCAACTCTGTGTCCCAGCTCCAGATGTTGAGTTTGACAGAAATGGTGAGTGTCTTCAATCAAATGCAAACATGTAGTGTTATGGTCTTATTCTGAATGTGTGTCTGTGGTTCTAAAGTCTAAAATATGATGGTATGTGTCATATCTTTATCTTTTACTAAACGTAGTTAGAGTGAAACATGGATTCATGGTTCAATGACAGTTGTTGTGTTTTCTTCTGAATACTGGGTTGAAACTGGCGCTGGTGTCTTCTCAGTTTGTTTGGACCGTCGCCTTCTCTGAATAAGTCAAAGATCGTAGGGACTGCTGTTTACACTCTTCTTTTTGTTACTTTCATTGCTACAAAATACACCCATTTTAAGGTTTATATGTGTCAAAGCGGCAGCAGGATCAATGCCATAAACAGTGAGGCGAGAGCTGCGACCCCTCTAAGTACGTCATCATTTTTCTGGCCAATCAGAGGCGTTGATATTAAAAGGTTATTTTACTGATTTATTACTTATCTATAAGACAAAAACACATTGCAAAGGTGGGAAATACATGCTTTTAATGTGTTTTATCAGAAAAAAAAATAGTTTTTAATAATGTTAGTGCCCTTTTAAGCTGTATCTAGATGGGGACAGGGCGAGGGTCAGGGTTAATTCGGGTGGTTTGTAACTTCTTAATGGACACGAATTTCATTTTCTTAGTAGACTTTATTTATCAGATGTAGATTCCATTGAAGATGGGGGTATGACTGGTTCTTGCCCGTCTCTGTAGAAGGAGATTGAAGAAGAAGCGTTCCAGGTGACGATTACAACCACAAGACCCCATACCTGACTGGAATGTCCTCTTCTAGGTCTCGCTCGAGAATCTTAAGCACACGTGAGGTCAGTTTATGTGCACGCTGGAGTGACACAAGGGTGAGACTTTCCGCTTTGTGAAGTTGGAGATTCACATTATCCTGGCACAGTAAATTCACCTGTGTTTATAGCTTCAGTGAGCATGGGGAAATCCCTGCTTCCAGCACCCAAATATCTACAGAGTCGAGACACAACTTGCTTAGAGGGGTAGTGGACCGTCTCATCCGTTCAGCTAAGATATTTTATTATTTCATGAAATTCTACCTGGGGTTTCCGTCAATGCCTCAGGTCAAACCCATAGAGCCAGAGATGCCAGCAGAAACAGACCCACATGTGACAATACTGTAACTTGAGCTGGATCTAGATGGGGACAGGGCAAGGGTCAGGGTTAAGTCGGGTGGTTTGTAACTTTTTATGGGCACGACTTAATTTTGTTTGTTTCATTTTCTTAGTAGACTTTATTAATCAGCTGTAGAGTCCATTGAAGAGAAGGGCATGACTGGTTCTTTCCCATCGCTGTAGAAGGAGATTGACAGCTGTTTAAAGTGTTCCATGTGACAAAGCCCCAGACCTGACCAGAATGTCCTCCTCTAGGTCTCGCTCGAGAATCTAAAGCATGCGGAGGTCAGTCTAAGTGAATACTGGTCATCTCAGGTTAATTTTGAATCGGAAAAAAAACATCTATCCATTCATTTTCTTCTGCTTCATCCATTGCCAGGTCGCGGGGGCAGCAGTCTAGGCAGAGGACCTCCCTATCCACACGCACTTCCTCCAGTTGAGGTGACTCGGGCATTCCCCTGTATAACTCACCCTATCTCCCAGGGAGCGCCCAGCCACTTTGCGGAGGAAGCAGATTCTCCCCCACTCCCTCTGCCCCCATTTCCTCTCCCACCTCCTCACGCGTCTCCAGCCCAGTGGACATTGCCTTTTCCCCTTCCTCACATTAGATTCAGACTCAGATTCAGACTACTTTATTTATCCCACCAGGGGCAATTCATTTGAGTAGCACATAAAAAAATAATATAAAAAAATAAAAATTACATCAAAACACAGGAAATAAGTTCTATGACATGAAGTGGAGCCCCATACAAACATATGAACATGATACAACAATAAAGCTCAAAGCATCAAAGTCCACATCACCAACAGCTACAGAGAGCTCAGCAGTCTAATAGCAGTTGTGACAATGAATGAATAATGACATGACCCCTAGACTTGTCTCCTGCCCAGTGGACACTGCCTGTTCCACCTCCTCACTTGTCTCCTGCCCAGTGGACACTGCCTGTTCCACCTCCTCACTTGTCTCGTGCCCAGTGGACACTGCCTGTTCCACCTCCTCACTTGTCTCCTGCCCAGTGGACACTGCAATAATGCATTGGTTTTATATAGCGCTTTTCAGAACACTCAAAGACATGTCATTATTCATTCATTCCATACATGCTGGTGATAAACTACTACTGTAGTCACAGCTGCCCTGGGCCCAACTGACAGAAGCAAGGCATTGGCCCCTTTGACCCCCACCAACCATTCACACACACCAGAATCATTTCTAGGCACTGTGGGTGAAGTGTCTTGCCTAAGGACACAGCAACAGTTTGGCACAGCCGCAGCTGCCCCACAGTGGAACCTGGTGTTCCCAGATGTTTCCCATCACAGTCCTAACCAGGCCCTGCCCTGCACAGCTTCAGAGGTCTGACGGGATCTGGCTTTCACATGCAGGTATGGCCACAACTCTAGAACCAGCGCTGCGTGATTAAAAGTGCAAAAAAGCCAATGATTCATGTGTGGATTGAATAACTTTCCATTGAGTAAACTACAAAAGCCTTTATGTCCTTTACCAGCATTTTGGGATGTCTCTCTCAGGTCCAGCCTTGAATCCCAGCTCTTTAAAAGTGCACAACATGAAACACACTGGTTACATCGGCCCCTTTCAAAGTCCCACCCCCTCGTCCTTTTCCCGATCATTAGACCTGATCCATTTGAACCACATGTGCGTCTTGTACTTCAGTCACTACATGTTTGATCCTTTCTTCACTGTTAAAAAAAAAAGCAAACAGACGGACATCTTTGTTTGTCTAGCCGTCACCTCGCCTTTAAAAACATCATTAGAAGCGATCAATTGTGCGCGGCTATAGGCTATTACCTGCCCGTCCGCCCACGTCCTCAGTCTGAGAGCTCCTGGCATTTGGGATCCAGTAATGAGAGTGGGAGTGTGTGAAGAAGGACACAAGCACAACAAAAAGGTCACACATAAAGCATGAACCTAAAGGCAGCCAAAATGTAAAGTTGTGGCTAATTATTTCTCTAAAAAGTTCCTGTACGCCGTAACTTTACAGACTTATGCTGTTTGTAATGGCCTTGTTAGCGCATAGAGGATGTCCTTATACACCGGCTTTTTCATGTAAATCGTGAAGAATGCCTTGAGAAATGAGCAGCTGCTTTTTATACATCTTTTTTTGTGAAGAGAAGGCAAGAACTATGTGGAGGAAAGCATCACAGGTTTGCTAAATCTATTCAACTATATAATGTATGTAAACGAAAATGATATAGATTGATTTTAATTGTAATTTTGTGGCTTTGAACATTTTCTCGTAGTGGTGGGTTATTTGATGGTGGCCAAACGTTAAAATTATTATTCTGTTTATCGTCACAAACGTTTTGAACTGAAATTGTTTTGTGTGAATATTGGGCAGAAATGTCTACTTCCATTTGCTCCTTTTGATTCACATTGTATTATATATTATTATGAAAAATAAACATTCTTGATTAAAATCCAAGTTTGTATTTGCATCAAAAGCAGATCAGAAAATGAGAAACACAAAAAATGCAATAATAACAAACACATAGGAGCCATAAGTTCATAGAGAAGGATGACCAATGTCCATAAATGTTAATAAATGTCCTTCAATGTCTCCGATCATCACTGTCCTTAGACCCGCCTCCTGCATCGGCAAGGAACAACTCAAAAACCCTTTGGAAAAAAGTGAGAAACCGGGACTCAGGCTGTAGAACGAGGATCCATTTGTTTAGCTTTTAAACATGTTACAACATTGTTCCCTCATCAATCTCAGACCTGCAGTTGTATATCCATCCACGCTAATATCAGGAACTTTTTGGGACCAACACATAACTCCGCTCCCTCTGTCTCCTGTCTCAGTCCTGTCTCAGTCCCGTCTCAGTCCCGTCTCAGTCCCGTCTCAGTCCCGCCTCAGTCCTGTCTCAGTCCCGTCTCAGTCCTGCCTCAGTCCTGTCTCAGTCCTGTCTCAGTCCTGTCTCAGTCCTGTCTCAGTCCTGTCTCAGTCCCGCCTCAGTCCCGTCTCAGTCCTGTCCCAGTCTTGTCTCAGTCTTGTCTCAGTGCTGTCTCAGTCCTGCCTCAGTCCCGTCTCAGTCCAGTCTCAGTCCCGTCTCAGTCCCGTCCCAGTCCCGTCTCAGTCCCGTCTCAGTCCCGCCTCAGTCCTGCCTCAGTCCTGCCTCAGTCCTGTCTCAGTCCCGTCTCAGTCCCGTCTCAGTCCTGTCCCAGTCCTGCCTCAGTCCTGTCTCAGTCCTGTCTCAGTCCTGTCCCAGTCCTGTCTCAGTCCTGCCTCAGTCCTGCCTCAGTCCAGTCTCAGTCCCGTCTCAGTCCCGTCTCAGTCCTGCCTCAGTCCTGCCTCAGTCCTGCCTCAGTCCTGTCTCAGTCCCGTCTCAGTCCCGTCTCAGTCCTGTCCCAGTCCTGCCTCAGTCCTGTCTCAGTCCTGTCTCAGTCCTGTCCCAGTCCTGTCTCAGTCCTGCCTCAGTCCTGCCTCAGTCCTGCCTCAGTCCCGTCTCAGTCCTGTCCCAGTCTTGTCTCAGTCTTGTCTCAGTGCTGTCTCAGTCCTGCCTCAGTCCCGTCTCAGTCCCGTCTCAGTCCCGTCTCAGTCCCGTCTCAGTCCCGTCTCAGTCCCGTCTCAGTCCAGTCTCAGTCCCGTCTCAGTCCCGTCTCAGTCCCGTCTCAGTCCCGCCTCAGTCCTGTCTCAGTCCTGTCTCAGTCCCGTCTCAGTCCTGTCTCAGTCCTGTCCCAGTCCTGTCTCAGTCCTGCCTCAGTCCTGCCTCAGTCCTGTCTCAGTCCTGTCTCAGTCCTGTCTCAGTCCTGCCTCAGTCCTGTCTCAGTCCTGTCTCAGTCCTGTCTCAGTCTTGTCTCAGTGCTGCCTCAGTCCTGTCTCAGTCCTGTCTCAGTCCCGTCTCAGTCCTGTCCCAGTCCCGTCTCAGTCCTGTCTCAGTCCTGCCTCAGTCCTGCCTCAGTCCTGTCTCAGTCCTGTCTCAGTCCCGTCTCAGTCCTGTCTCAGTCCTGTCTCAATCCCGTCTCAGTCCTGTCTCAGTCCCGTCTCAGTCCTGTCTCAGTCCTGTCTCAGTCCCGTCTCAGTCCTGTCTCAGTCCCGTCTCAGTCCTGTGAGTGTATGATGTCATTGTGCCAGCATGACATCACGCTCAGAGCCGTTTTCTGCCAAAAGCATTATAATTTTGGTCATTTCTCAGGTGAAAGGATGGTCTTTCCAATCACATGTCTGTGTTTGCAGTCGGTCCTTTTCAAATTTGTTAAAAAAACAAACAATTCTTCTTCTCTGGTGTTACAGGCCGAAAGCATTTGAAGAAGATGACATAGTCTGGGATCGCGTCTTTAATTCAGACAGAAGACATGTTTTATTGTCGATGGTAGAGACAGCACGATCAAAGCACACGGTCACAGATACAACAGAATGCAAGTGTATTATACAGAGCGGAGGCATGGAGACCTCCAATCAGCAGCTGCCACGGTGTGCTTGTAGCTTGGCCTTCAGATAGACAAAACAAGGGAAAAGTACTGGCTTCTGCACATTGATAGATTGATGAGTTTAACTTTAACAAAAGTTGCTTAAAAGTGTTATGAAATCTCACACATTCATTAACCTCTTAAAACCCGCCTCATTTTTGGTTTGTGCACAAAAGTTGGGCATACCCAAATGTCTTTGCTTATTTAAAAACACATCTTACATCTCACATGCTTGTGTGATGCATCATTTTAAAGCTAGAGCCTTCTAGTTTATGTAAAAAAACACTAAAATAATGTTTGTCATTCCTATTTCCCTCTGCATCCTTTGAAGTTTGGGGAAAAAAAACAATGTTTTTTAGCCTCGCCTAACATTTTCAATTTCTAAAGGCCCTAAAAAAGGCATACTTCATTGTAAGTTCACAATATTCAAACCCTCTGTTCATTGTGTTGTTGACAACAACTGTCTAAAGTTTCAGACTTCTAAGTTTTATAGTTTTTATGCAGTTTCTCCTTTTCATCAAGTAATGCACATTTGGCACAATTTGGCACAAGTGTGCCAAAACGTGCCAAATATCTTTACTTACATTTAATCATCATAAAAACAATATTTTTTATTATTGGTACTTATAAGTTACTAATCTATGTGTGTTTTTTTTTTAACTGTCAAAGTTATTTTTTTATGAGTGTAAATTCATTGCAGCTTCGAGAGCGTCTTTTGGCTGCCATTACGCACAATTCTACAGGCACAACATAAGACAGGACACCATTGTCCCACCCCTTGCTCGAAAGCTTTCCTCATTGGCTACACGGACATGTAAATCAAACATCCCGGAAATAGAAGCAAACAAGAAGGGAAGACAACAAAGATCAGTGATCCATGCGCAAACAGCAGCGCTAGCTGTACTCGCGGGAGTTCTTGCAGACTAGGGATGTAAAAAACTATGAATTTTCATGACCGACCACCGAGCCTCATTAACCGGTTGAAACCGGTTAACCGCGTAGTTTAAAATAGTCCACGTTCTTTGAAATAACAGCCATTTCGAGCCGCGTACTTTTCATATGTGCAGCTCTGCGTTCTACTGGATCAGAGCCAAGACAGCGGCGCCAAAACCCGCAACAGCTCCGGCACCTTTGCGCACAGAGAACTGCTTTTTTAATCTTCCCATTCTGCTGTGCTGCGGGTTAATACCAAAACTTTCTAGCAGCAAACGACGGCTCGTTCACATGGTCAGAGCAGCGAGTGACGAGCCGCGTCTCACAGGTCTTCACAAAAGTTTAAATACAAGTGATGTGTGTGGAGCTGATGCCAAGGACCATAAACACAAACATGTTTCCCCTACAGCAAAACATGTAGGGGAAAGGGAGCCGCGTATTTGCGCGAATCCTTTGGGCTCCGTGACACAGAGGAGCGCGACAGACCGGTATGTGTGTGTGTATGTGTGTGTGTATGTATATGTGTGTGTGTGTGTGTAAATGTAAGCTCCAATGTAGTTCTGACCCGCGCCAGTGTGCAACTTTGACGGTAACAGAGGGGAGAGATGATGCGTGTGGATGTTACGTATGGAGAGGGGGAAAGTGTGTGTGTGTGTGTGCGCGCGCGTGCACG